TTTCCCAGATCAGCATCCCAGCCATTCTCTTGAGTCTTGAAAGTAACAGTAACCTGCAACAGTTAAATCCGTTAAGGAGAAACACTTAGGAACTGCTGCGTCATTAACATTAAACATGAGATCTCCTTAATATCCTACACACCACTTACACCGGTCTTTAGCACCACGCTACATTTCTTTGAAGGCATAAACTTTCCTCTCTTTGGACAAATCCCTAGAATAGATTTCTCAAAAGCAAATTTAATTCACATGAGCATCAATTATAGTTACTCAAGTTACCTGAAGTGTATACTTCTGTATTTCATCCAGAACAAATTCCACTTCTTTTGAGGTTGTTAATGAGGCAAGATTCCCACTTAAATTGTAGCAATAGAGTTTGGCATTGTCATAGCTTTCACGACTAGAATTTATGCGGAGGCAGGCATCTCCAATATGACTCCATCCTTCCCCACACAGATGAGCTAGTGTAAAAAGCATACAATTAAAGCTGATTTGAAAAAACATTTAGAAAACCTAAGGGAGTCTGAATTTCATCTTCCTGACATCATAAATAAAATATATCCCACACTCAATTTCCCTTTTCACGTCATGTAAATTCTAAAACACCAAGTAGTACCATATTGAATAGTGTATTTTTATAAAAGAAACTTTTAACAAATTACAAAATATTGAAGGCATAGGCTAAGTTTCAGTATAACAATATTGTTATGACACTGTTTCTTCTCTGTATTCAGATTTGTGCACAACTAAATATTAAAGACTAAATTATGTACAACCAAATGTTAAAGATTACATTATGTACATAATTAATAGCACTTTACCAATCACTTTACCTAAATGTTATGTAAATTTCAAAATCTGAAAGCAATTGTCCTAGAATTAAGAGATCACAAATTTATCCTATCTTTGCATTTGATTTTGCCTAAATATGAATGCAATCATAATGATAGGAAACTCAGATAATATTTCCTCTTCAACTTATTTCAGCATTACTCAGATTCAGATAACTATTAAAAGATAAGTAATTCAGAACAATTATAGTTAATCTTCACAAAAATTACACAAATGCAGTTTCAAACTGCACAGAATAAATTTATTAAAGTTATTTAATGAATAATTTCTGTGGAAAAAAAACCACCCTGTGTTCATTACCTTCATCCGGACATAAAGATCAAATGGAAAAGGTTCTGCTATCTAACTGCCTATATGTAGTTATGAATATGAATTGCAGAATAAATATTATTTCAGAACGTGAACAGTCACCTTCTGATACTATTTTATATTAGCATTTTAATATTCACTGTTTTCATAGTATTACCAACATTCAACAATCAAGAAAGTAGACCTTAGGCCCTATCTGCGCGGGAGAATTGAAGTATAATTTATACGATAAAATCCCAGCCAGTAAAAGTAACAGTGTCAGTGAATACATAACAATAAAGGACTCCGTATGGCAATTCAGCTCCGCACTCAGTGATCCTCACGGGCTAGAACTTGTCACTAGCTTGTGCAGAGGTACATGCCATTATGCCTTCGCTAATATTATTACCTCTCCTAACAAGATGAAATGTAGCATTGATATACCAACCAGTGATGCAATTACACCTGTGTTCACCTGTACAGGCACAGTCAGGCAAGGAGAGTCAGCTAGAGTAAAACAAATCCAGGTCTATTCATCGAACAAGTATTCTTTGGCAATAATGGAGGAGATTTACTCAGTTTGAAAACAACTGTAAAAAGCAGCATGACCTACCAGGTAGGGCCTGGCACTCCTGCTGGCGCTGGTCCCACTGGCAGTTCAGGTGTAGTGAGCAGCTTTTGCAGCTGGTCAGTTTATTGCAAATCTGTTCATTCCTCACATGACATTTGGTGTAGTTTTTAACTGACTATAACAAAACAGACAAAACAGCATCTCAAACATATGTCAAACCATCAATGAACCAGAAGTCAAAAACTGAAATACACAGCAGGTGGATCCCTCCCAGAAAAATCACAACCACCTAAAAAAACCTAGGCTGAATTTAAGCTGTCTCGATTCCCGTATCAGTTGCAGAAAGTACAAAATGCATCTCTAGAGCACAAATCATCCCACCTGTCCTACACAACTAACTTTGAGTGGGTCAAACAGTACTTTGAAGATGCCACTTCCCTCTACAGAGCACAGGAAGACCTTAAATAACCGAACTAAATCTCTCTTTCTTAGATAGCTCAGGGACATGCTCTCACTAAATTGTTTCATCTTCTGCAAGTTAAAGCAAGCAAAATAATCAAACAGAATATAAAAAATGGTGCAAAATACAGGTGTAAGATAATTACATATCATTGGCTGAAAGTGAAAGAATATGCTCTACTTTGCTTTGTCTGTATTAAACAAAAACAGGGGCTACAGACCAGTAGTCACAAAACACAAGAACGATTCATCAAAAATTTCAGTCAGATTATTTTACAGATTTAACCACAAACCTGTATGCAACATAGCCAGTATAAAATTTACAGGACCTACAGGAAACCTTTTTGTCAAACAGTGACATAAAACCAGGAATAACATTATTCCTTTGGTACCTTAGTATACACGAAAAGCAGTAAACACTGAAGGAATTTTTACTTGTTTTTTTTTGTTGGGTTTGGTGGGGTGTTTGGGTTTTTTCCCTGAAAACTGAGGTCTTCGTTTCCAAGTTAAGCATTTTG